AAATACAAGGGGCACAACTGCCCCCCCCCTCCCCGCGAGCTAGGGGGCAAAAATCCCGAAAATGTTCGAACGTGATGGTTGACCCTGCTCACAACACCGAACAAGGACAAAGCGGATTTTAGCGAAAGCAATGCTCAAGAGAAACGGATTGCTATCTGGTGCCTGTTCACGCTCAGTGGAACGAAGTCACCGAATGCTCCAGCGACTAACTGGGTGGGGAAAATAGAGGACGAAGGACATTCGTTGCACCTCATTAGGCATGCCTCCAACAGCTGCGAAGTAATACTTTCTCGAATAAAGCATTTAAGACGTTCGGCGAGATAGTATCGCTGTGCTGAACCCCTTCCTCCGCGTCGCTGATGACCTAGAATGGTGAAATTCTGGCAGTAAAGTCTGTAGAGCTCGCGAGAATTCTTACGAACTGAGAAGGGACGTTTGATTACCCGAGGCTTCTCCACTCCCAGAGAATCAGAAAATACGACACCTCATCCCGACTCCCGTCGTCAAAGAAACGCAGCGAGCGGTTACCCTGCAGGTCGTTTGATGGGCAGGTCGATTTTTTTACCAGACAAGTTTCGTACCAATTGGTGAGCTCCTGAGGGATTAAAAACCTGATTGTAATGAGCTCGAGATTCATAGTCGGCCCGTGATTTGACTCATGAGCCATATGTGGTGGGCGGCGCTACTCGCCTCTATGCCACTTTTGCTGCATGCTATACTATAGTCCCTTATTACACAGTTTTCCCAATCCTCACTGTTACTTTTCACCCTTATTTCAAGACTTTCAAGGCACTCGATGAGCAACTTGAAATGAAGCGACGACACGGTCAGAATAGATGTGTGCTGGAAAATATTCTCCCGAGTCACGTGGCCAAGCATTTTCTTGAAGATAAAGTCAGTAGCAAGTCGAAGGATCTTTATCACGAGGTTGGTGCGTTTCCAATCTTTGCCCTCCGTTTGAGCTGGTCTGGTCCTCTTCACCCTATAATTTCAGGACCCCGTAGGAAGCTTCACTTCCTACGGGGTCCTGAAATTACATTTCGTGTGGGACACTTACAACTTTGCACCTTTGGAATTGTCTAGCGAATCATTGTATCTCACCACATGGGAAGGAAAATTAACCAAGTTGGGGTGCATTTGACCTTCGATGCGAAAACAACATTGAAATTGGAAGCCACTGCCACTCTCGCTGCCGGCATGCGCTACACATTTGAGTTTCCTTCACATCTGTCGAGTTGCCTACTTGTTTTTATGGCCTATGCAATGATTTGCAAGGCCCGTCCGATTAGGTAATAGTGTTTCACTCTTTCGAATGGAGTCTGGGTCTCAACCGATACAAGAAGCTGCAAGGAGTCGCTTGGTCTAAAAGAATTTGATTAAGGCCTAATCCGCGGACACGTGCGCTAAAAACGCCACTTGCTAATGCGCCACTTCAAACATTTTATTGCCACATCATATCCAACTTTTTTCAGGCGAGGGACTACGCCTGCATCGTCTTTATCACTATCACTGACTTCAGTCGTTTCTACATGGAGTTGGACGCAAACAACGAAGGGGTCGAATGCTTACGACTCCTAAATGAGATCATCTCGGACTTTGATGAGGTTACCACCTAACTTCACTTATTGCGAGAATATGAGATGAATTAGGTCTAAATCTTTGTGTTGTATACGTGACTCCGACA